CATCCTCACTGGAGCCACCCCTCCCCCTCCGTGACGTCTATCCTGACTGAAGCCACTCTCTCCCCCTCCGTGACGTCTATCCCGACTGGAGCCACTCTCTCCCCTCCGTGACGTCTATCCTGACTGGAGCCACTCTCTCCACTTCCTCGACGTCCATCCTCACTGGAGCCACTCTCTCCCCCTCCGTGACGTCTATCCTGACTGGAGCCACTCTGTACCCCTCCGTGACGTCTATCCTGACAGGTGCCACTCTCTCCCCCTCCGTCACATCGATCCAGGTCGTCCCGCCGTCCACGTACCCCAGTCGGCCGGGCACCACCTGGCTAACGTTCGACACGACCTTGATCGGCACGCAGCCCGGTCAGCTGGTGACCGCCATCCGGCCGGGCCAGACGCCGGTGGCCGTGCGGCCGACGGCCACCGGCCGGCCAGTGGTTACGACGTCGATCGTTTGGCGGCCGGGCGCGTGCGGCGGCCGTCCCGGCTGCCGGCCGTCGTGGCCGCCGCGGCCGTGGCCCGGCCGCCCGGTCATCTCCATCATCGCCGGGCCGACGCCGACCATGACGGGCGTGCACCGGCCCGGCGCCACCGTCACTGTGTGGTCCGAGCCGCCGCCGCACGGCGCCGTGCCACGGCCGACCGCCGTCGCCCCAGGCACCGGCACCGCTACCGTCCCCGGCGGAGGCGTCAGGCCGGTCCCCGGCGGGTACCCCAGACCGGTCTCCGGCGGGGGCGTCAGGCCGGTCCCCGGCGGGTACCCCAGACCGGTCCCTGGCGGGTATCCCAGACCGGTCCCCGGCGGGGGCGTCAGGCCGGTCCCCGGCGGGTACCCCAGACCGGTCCCCGGCGGGGGCGTCAGGCCGGTCCCCGGCGGGTACCCCAGCCGGCCACAGGGAGGGTACCCCAGCCGGCCGCAGGGAGGGTACCCTCCGATCGGCGGCAACCTCAGACCGCCGTTTGGCGGCGGGTATCCAGACCCCGGCCGCCGATCGCAGGATACCCGAGGCCTCCGTCCGGAGGGTGTACCCGACCGAACCAACTCCGGACGGTCCGGGGCCGTTAGAACCTCCTGTGTCAGCGCTAGAGGAAGTGACGCCAGGGAGTGGTGGGCCCGAGGACACAGTCAAGCCAGGGGGCATCCAGACTAAGCCCATCGGCGCCGTATCTCCTATTCCCGTCCTGCCAGCAGTAGACCCATATCCGGTACAGACGAAACCCACGGGCGATGTCAAACCAATTCCCGTCCTTCCTACAGATCCAGTGCAGACGAAACCCACGGGTGATGTCGAGCCAATTCCTGTCCTTCCTACAGATCCGGTGCAGACGAAACCCACGGGCGATGTCAAACCAATTCCCGTCCTTCCTACAGATCCGGTGCAAACGAAACCCACGGGCGATGTCAAACCAATTCCCGTCCTTCCTACAGATCCGGTGCAAACGAAACCCACGGGCGATATCAAACCAATCCCCGTCCTTCCTACAGATCCGGTGCAACGAAACCCGCGGGCGATGTCAAACCAATCCCCGTCCTTCCTACAGATCCGGTGCAAACGAAACCCACGGGCGATGTCAAACCAATCCCCGTCCTTCCTACAGATCCGGTGCAGACAAAACCCACGGGTGATGTCAAACCAATCGCCGCGCAGCCTTCTCTAACACCCTCGCCACCAACACAAAGACCACCCTACGTCCCCTACCCTTGGCCGCAGAGACCTCCAGTGATCCCCACGGAGAAACCCACAACGACGTCCACGCCGTCTACACCTGACCCCTGGCCGGGTAGCTCCACTACACCTGACCCCTGGCCGGTAAGCCCCGCGACATCTGACCCTTGGCCGGGAGGCTCCGTGACATCTGACCCCTGGCCGGGTAGCTCCACTACGTCTGACCCCTGGCCGACGGCAGCGGGTCTGCCGATTGGCTGTGAGGCAATTGGCGCGTGGCGCGCGATCCCCGGCATGGACCAGTGGTGCACGTCGAACTGCCTGATGAAGAACCCGCCGTTCTGTCCCGCCACTCACTGCCTCTGTGCGTAGTCGGATGGGCGGCGATGGCGGCGGTGGAAGGAGCCAATCCCACCGCGGCTGCCGGCTGAGGTCGGCGGCCAGCATCATTTGCCGGAGGCCGAGGCCACGCTCTGATTGTTCGTGAGCGGCGGTAGCCAGTGGTGATTACAGGCCGGTGCGTGCGAGGCGTTATCAGCGGCCCAGACAGTACTGGCCGCGACAGCGACATTGATATTTTAGACGATGTGGCATTTTGCGACGTGGCATTACGAGCCCAGGTGGAAGGTGCTTAGTGTTAGCTGCTGTAGTGTTAAGTTTTCGCGATGCGGCGCGGATTTCGCATGTGTGCGCGTGTTTATGTCGAGGCTAGCTTGTGCTGGCATTCGCCGAGTCTGTCATGTCTGGATGACATGAACCCCTGATGGCGTCCAGCCGCCTTGTTGTGCCTTATGACCGCATCGGTGTCCAAACTGGCCTTGCACGTGCATGACCGAAGCGTTCGTTGCTCGAACGCAGCGGCTTGTCCATTGTAGCCAGCCAGTCGCCCCACCCCGAGCGTCCTCCCATGCCATCCGGCTTCCGACGCGTTCGGTCCGTGTGGGCGTGCCGTAGATTGCACGCGTCCTTGCTGAGGACGGACAGTACGCATTTTGCATTTTTAATAAACAACATGCATTTTAGTGTCGTGTCAGATGAGAGAGCCGAGTGACATCGATCCTCATTCATGTTACAAAGCTTCGAATTGTGGCATTCTGCCCGGTACACAACTTCAATTACTACACATCGTTCTGCTTGCACGCTCTTCAAACGCAGCAAAAACAACAACGTGGCGTTTGTGATTAGGCTTGCTTTATTGTGTATTGATGGCATTCGAAATGAACAAATAACAGAGAAGAGCCTACATTTGGCAAAAGTTTGTGGCGGTCAGACGCGTGGCACCACGCGCGACAGCAGACACCACCAACACTGTTGCGGGTATGCCATAATCCAGCGGCGCACCCATCGTCTGGAGAAATGAACCAGATGAATACGCGCCGCTGTCGCCGACGGTACAGATAAAACGGTTAAACCCAACGCTACTCGGTACACACTGTGCTGTTTGAACTGTTCCTGGCAGCTGGCGTTATCGCAATCGTGCCGGTAAAATGCGGGGCCCTTCCAGCCTCGTCGTTTTCAATAACAACGGCGATCGTTCGTAAGCATAAAATATATAATTTCTCCAGCTGTTACACGATTCCGGAAAGTACGTGGCTACAATGCCCTCGACACGCGCGCGCAGCTACACCGCTTTGATTAGTAGACCGGAGCCAGTCACAGCGGGCCAGGTACCAGACACGACATCGCCAGGGCAGCAGAATCCACTGTAAGTCTAGATCACCTTAAAGCGAATACTACGGCTACTGCTAGAGGCGGCGCCGGGCGGCGGCCGGCAGGGGCCGCTTCGCCCAACAGCTCCAAAGGGCGGCGCGCACAAACGCCGCCTCATAACAGCCAGCGACGGACAAAAATAAACGAGCGTACAGCCAACCGTTCCACAGGGCAAGCACATGTACGCCGGAGAGGGGGTGGGGGCGCGCGGGGCTGGGCGGACGCCGCCGACGGTGGCGGCGTTGCCACGCCCCGCCGCCGCGCCAAACAAGTAACAAGCCGAGGCAGCGCGCGCCGAAGCTCAGCCAACTGTGCACAACGAACATCGACGAGCAGAGCCCCGGAGGGGTGGCGATGCGGCGGCGGCCGGCCACACGGCCCGCCGGCGTGCCGCGCGTGCCGCAGCGGCGGCAGCGAGCGCCTCCAGCCTTCACGCACGCCGCACCGGCCAGCGTCTGGAGCGTCGGCGCGCCCGGACTGCTGCCCATTGTGAATTGCACAAAGCCGACACACGTTTGTACTGTTCCGGGCCGCTCCCACTCCGCCGCGCATCCAATCTCACAGATATTGGAGTTTTCAGGTACTTTTCTCCACTCGCGCCGCCTAGCTACGCACCCCGCCTCAGTAAAATATATCCGCCGCACCATCGGCAGCTCTATGTGGGCATGCGGCGGCGGGCGGCCGGGCCCCCACGGCACCCCCGGACAAAAGCGGACAGCACAGTGCGGCGGCCCGCTACCCTACCACCCCCTCCCCTTACCAGCTTATACGGTAAAAACTAGCCTACAAACGAGCGGCCGAGGCGGAGCGAAGCCCCGCTCTCCGGCGGCGCCGGGCCGCCCGCTCCACCGCGCTCTGCACCCGTCGATCTGTGTGGCGTTGCGCATCAACATCTACGCAAAATGCAATTTGCACGAGACTGTCCGCATAGTTCCAGCATACGTATCCGGATGAGTTTGTGTATATGTGTGTCTGCATGTGTATGTGTGTGTATGTATGTGGATGTACTGACGCTTGCGGCAGCCGACACCGGACCAGGGCTGGGGCCGAGGCGCCGCCGTCACCGGCTCACTCATTGCCAGGCACCTGCATCATGAGCTGGGAGAACTCGTCGCACTCGCTGAGCGCCTGCAGCGTTTCGCCGAGGTCGGCGTCCACGCTGGTCGCCTGCTCGTGCAGACCGAGCCCGTCGCGGCCGGCCGTCGACACGCTGGGCCGCTGCAGGTTCGTGTTCAGCTCGGCCAGCGTCATGTTGGACGAGCAGCCGGCGGGCGCCTCACCGCCGCCGCCGCCGCTGCCGCCGCCGCCACCGCCCGCGCCGCTGAACGCGTCCAGGCCGTACTCGAGCGACAGTGGCGCCGCCAGGTGGGACGAGTGCGAGATGGCAGCCGGCGGCGCGCGGAACACGTAGCCGCCGCTGGCGGCCGGACCGCCGGCCGCCAGCGAGGGTGGGCGGCACGCCTCTGCGAGCGCTGCAGGCCGAGTGACGCGGCCGGGTCAAGGTTGTCGGTCAGGCCGGCCATCTCGAAGGCGAGCGCGTCGAACGGCGCCGCCGGCGCCGTTGACAGAGCGCGGCGGCCGGTAGTGGACGGTGGCGCCGGGCCGACTGGTGACGGCGCCGCAGGTCGCTGTAGCCGGCACGCGTGTCCACCAGCGCCGTGCTGGTGGGCGAGACGGGCGCCGAGATGGGCGAGATGCCAGACCCGGACGACGAGTGCCGCGAGCGCACCGACGGCGTGCCGTCGGGCGTCGGGAAGTTGGACGTCTGGATGCCCGACTCGTCGACCGACATGTGCGGCGAGGCCGGCGCCATCGTCGACATGGGCGAGTACGGGTTGGGGTTCATCGGCGAGTAGAGCGGCTGTGAATGGCGGCAGCCGGCGGCGGCCAGCGAGGCCGCCACCAGCGACGTGGCGCCCGACGAGTGGCGCGACCGGCTCTGCGGGAAGCGGCAAGTCTGCTGGCTCGAGTTGTGGCGCGAGCGCGCGAACGGCACGGGCGTCGACTGCGGCGACAAGAACGGCGTCGAGTTCTCCGAGCCGAACGTGGCGCAGCGTGACAGCTCGGAGATGGCCGAGAAGGGCGTGATAGTGCCGGTGCCGGGGCCGCGCGCCAGGTACGGCGCGGACAGCTGGCCCGAGTTGTGGCGCGACCGGTTCAGCGGCAGCGGCGTGCTGTGAGGTGACACGAATGGGCTTTCGCCGACGCCCGGCGGTGGCGGCGGCGGCAGCGGCTCGTGCGCGATCGGCTGGAAGTTGAAGTAGCGGCGGCGCGTGTTGGGGCTGGGCGGCACCATGCCTGGCGGCGGCAGCGGCAGGCCGTCCGGCGCCGACAGGCTCGGCTGGAAGCTGACGCGCCGCCGCAGCGCCACCGACTGGCCGCCAGCGCCGTTCTGGCCGGCCGCCGCGCCGTACGGCCCGGCCGGTTTGTCCACCTTCTGCGTCTCCTTGCTGCCGGGCAGGTTCTGCTCGAGCAGCATGCGCAGCTGCGACAGCTCCTCCTTCTGGTGGTGGTCCTTGTTGTTGAAGTATTGCATCAGCTCCTCCTCGTTATCCTGGCCGCAGAGCACGTCGCTGTACTCGCGGTGGCCCTCGGCGCCGCCGGCGCACGACGCCCGCCCGTCGTATTCCCCCGGCTCGAACTTGGGCTGGATCGCCTTGAACTTGACGTGCGACGGCGGCGGCGGCGGTGGCGGCGGCAGCGGCGGCGGCGGCGGTGGCGGCGGGGGAGGCGGCGGCGGCGGCGGCGGCGGCGGCGGCGGGTAGCCGTTGTGCTGTCGGCCGGCGGGCTGCACGAAGGTGGCGTGCGCCACCGTGTCGCCGTGCGGCGCGCTGGTGATGACCGGGCAGTGCGAGTGGGCCGTGGGCGCGGCGCTCGGCACCGGGCCGCCGCCGCTCATCGTCGACATGTTGACACAGGCCGGCTCCGGCAGCGGCGCGTACTCGCCGCGCTCCGGCTCCGGCGGCTGCGGCAGCGGCGCCGCGAACGCGTCGGCCGCCGGCTCCAGCCAGCTGTACTGCTCGCCGTAGCCGGGCGGCTCGCCGTAGCCGGCCGAGCCGTCCATCGACGCGTCGTCCGAGGCGTCCGGCTTCTCGTCCGACAGGCCCTTCTTGCGCTTGCGGCCGCGCGCGCCGCCCTTCTCCAGCTTGCCGTCCGAGTCCTGCGAGCGGGGCGAGTGGCGCGGCTCAGGCAGCGACCAGACCATTGGCGGCACATGGCTGCGGTGGGGACTGGACGCCCCGGACTGGCGCAGCCGCGCGGGTGGACAGCGCCGCTCAGCTGGCAGCCCGACGGGCCCCAGGTGACCGTCAGCTGACCGGTGCGGTAGGAGGAGACAACCACCAGCCATCGACACGCGTTTGTGAGATTCCAGCTAGAGCAGCCCATTTGGGAAATACTGGGCAGCGTCAATCATATCCCGGACCTCGACTGACGCGACACCGTCGAAATGCGGCTGAATAGGTCTGTGACCGAAGCCGATTGGTGGAAATATGGAAAGAACGCGACATCATCTCCTCCCAACGACTGCACGATAAGCTGACTGGTTTCAGAAGCGGCCAAGTCATAGCCGTACTGACCTGCAATTTCTTCTTCTGCTCACGAAACAGCTCTTTCTCTTGCAGTTTTCTCTGCAACTGTAGTTGGGTTTCTCTATGCCTATTGACTGGATGCAAATAACTAGACGGCATATCTGGAATACAGAAGTTGTAAATGTTATAGATGGCAATACAGAGAACGCGAGGGAGCGGAGAGATATCCACGTACTCACTAGCATGAATACGTTATGCGGAGGCATCGGTGCCACTCTTCACGACCCGCATTTAGGGAGGCTTTCTTAGTCCCTATTCCACAGCAGCGCCCCTATTATCCCCAAAAATAATCGATCGAGGCCGCATGTCTCCTGACATTCGCTTCTGCGCCTGTTACCAACAGGGCTCAGCCTTATACGGATTAGGCATAGATAACTTGTTTTCAACACATGCCTAGCAGAGTGCAGTATGACCTCTCCCGATTATCCCAACAGATCTTTTTGTGCTCCATTTTCTACTTACGTCAAGATAAATCTATAAAAGTTTAGCCTCAATACGGAGCCCAATGGGAGGCGAGTCCACAGTGGACATCTCTGTTCTGAAAGTGTCTCGGTCCATGGCGTCATAGCCGAAAACAAAGAGTAAAAGTGACAATGCTTCAGCGGTTTTGGCAGGGTTTCAAGATTTGTTGGAGCTGACAAGCGTATTTTAAAATCCTTTTTATGTGGCCATTCTAGGGATCATAACACGAGATACCTTTTATCGAGATCTTACCAACTCAACCTTAAATAGAGCGTGAGAGATACATATCTCTTCGAAGTAACACAATTTAAGAGCGTTATCCCAACCTGTTCCAAAATCGCATGAAAACATGAGAGAACCAGGACGGCCAACCGGCCTGGGGATGCGACGCCCGGCGAGCGATGTGGTCAGCTAATCGCCGCGTCACGGCGCGCCCCATGAGCGGCGCGTCGAGACGGGCGCGGCCGGCGGCCACTCAAGGCCGCCAGCGCCGGCCGCCGCCACCCGCTCGCCCACCTTTTATCACGGCGGCCGCGCCCGCCAGGCCGGCCGGCGTCGGCCCGGACACGTAGTTCTTCTTGACCAGGTAGCTGCTGAGCTGAGAGAGCGTCTCGAACTTCTCGCCGATCAGCTTCTCGGCCCACTGGCGGATCAGCAGGGAAGAGGCTGCCAGCTCGCCAGAGCCGTCACCGCTGCCGCTGCCGCCGCTGGCGCCAACCTCACCACCCGCCTGCGGAATACGGCGCCGGGTCACAACACGGCACAGACAGGTCATCACGGCTGCTGATCAGAGGGAGCAGGGGACCGGGTCACAGCAGGCCAGCGGGGTGTCGCCGCTCGGGCAGGGCCTCAGCAGCCTATGGGCCCTTTCGTCCGGCCGATCGTTACACGGCTGCGGCGTCTGGTGTTCCCCAGCCGCCGGCCAGCGGCAGGTCACGGCCCCGTGCCGCGCCGCCTGCGCCTCGCGCCTCGTCTCGTGTTCGGTAGTCTCGCGGGACACGAGGCGGGGCCTGGCCAGGGGGCGCCGCTGGGCCGCCGGGCCGCCGGGCCGCCGTGAGCCGCCGCCACCGGCCCGTCGGCCGGTGTTTGGCCTTGGCAGCCGGACGGGGCGCCGGCGGACTCCCGGCCGCTCAGTGGCGGGCCGGCAGCCGTGCCGAGCACCAACCGGCCGGCCGGTCGGGGCCGCCGGCGGTGGCGATATCGCCCTCCGCACGGGCCCCCAGGCCTGTCCTCCCTCACAGCTTTAGAAAGGCTCCAATTTGTGCTGCCATATGGGTTTTACATCAGCAGCGCTTTGTGTAGCTCCGACAAAATGGCACTGCATTGACGCATTTACTATTCATGTGCACAGGAAATCCAGGCTGCTTGCAAAGATTAACAGGCCATTAATGCCATAATCGCATACAGAGACACCCCTTGTTCCTGTCTTTGAGGAAAGACTACAACCCAAACACCAAACATGTATAATCCTGTTTAGACCAAAACGTACCAGGACTACAAAAACCCACACATCAAGTGAAGCCGGTCGGTGTCCCCCATCAGAACAGACATATAGTGGACACGGGAAAATATGTTCTGCCGGACAGCAGCTGCTGCAAAGCACAGATCTGGGCACAATGGGCCTCCATACCGGAATTTCGTACCGACGTGTCACAGCCAGCTTACCGACCAGTCAGGGCCAGAACCAGGCTCACAAGCCTCCTTAAACGACCACACATTTATAATTTAACACAGCGACTTTTTGACTCCCAGCAATCCAGTACATAGGAAATGCTGCCACCTCTGACGCCACGTCTTACCTTTGGCGGCGACAACATGGAATACGGCACTGCCGAAGCAAAACGTCTACTGCTGCGCGCTTCTTTCCCATGGGGACCATGCCAAAGCCAAAACGGTGCATACCACTTAAAGTGCAAGGCGCAAACTCCTGGCGATTGATACCAAATGAAATACGACATTGAAATGCGTACATCAGGTGCACCTCCACGCGCTAAAAGATGGGGCTCACGACGCGTCAAAATTATATCGGCATGGACCGAGCAGCACATTATGACTGCAACGAGTGCTTACCACCACGAGCAAAAAAAAAAACGAACACTGCAATCAGTATCACCATTCTCCCGTCATACCGCTCTGTGATGCGCTTATTCCGTCATAACGCTGTGCGACGTGCTTATTCCGTTATAACACTGTGTGACGCGCTTATTCCGTCATAACGCTGTGTGACGTGCTTATTCAGTCATAACGCGCTGTGACGCCCTTATTCCATCATAACACTCTGTGACGCGCTTATTCCGCCATAAGCGCTGTCGTAATAAGAACACCACTAGGAAACGCTTGCCTTCCAACAGGCCGGTGTGCTGGCCAATACAGTGTAGAATTAATGCAACGCAAATATTTTGTCAATTAGATATACATATATATATATATATATATATATATATATAACATTTTTGCAATTAATGCAACGTAAATACCTTTGCAGAGAAAATCCACACGACTGCATCGCAAGAGGACGACGTACCTTCCCAGATATCTAACTAAATATCTTGGTACCGTTTTCAGTGAGTCAAAATGACGCTTCAGTAAGTACAATCCGCTCCTACAAGCGGTGCTGCCTCGTCGGAATGAACATCAGGCACGATTTCTGAAGTCGCTCTCTTGATGTGTCCCATTGTGCACCATCAGTACACACTAGAAAGCGTCTGTGGTTTGTTCTATGCTTGACAAGTGCTCATACGAACAGCAGTTACCACCATCGTCCCTCGGCGAAATAGCCATGTCCCTGTTGCTACGCCCTGAGCATTTTCCATGCATACTACAAGAACTGCCGAATCATTCCATTTCATTCCTTATTCCAAATTACAAACGTCACGGTACTACCCTTACACAAAACCGCTCAACAGATAGCCGCCGTGCCAGACAAACGCTATGGCTCTCGTCATGATGATTTCGAACGCCCCCTACCCAACCTTTTACTATAGATCGGCCTCTATGCACCGGGGCGAGCACACAAACTGCAACCGGGCGCTAGCTTCGCGTTGCCACGTCAGCGGCGGAGAGTGACACACGCTATTGTGCTGCTGTATCGACGACGCGTCTGGTATTGACGGCGCGGCAATGCTATCTGGAGGCCATCAATGCATCCTTCGCAACTGCATGCGCGTGTGGGAAGGTGACGGGGACGGGAGGGTAAAATTATGGGAAAATACGCTGGGAATAATAACTAGGGTAGATGTGGATGGAAACCAAAATATGCGACCAGCAGCTCTGCAGTTGTACCCGCCGGACCTAACTGGTCAGTAAAAACTCAACAGGATAAACAGCGCGCGGTTTGAAAAATGGCACAGTTACAAACACAATGAGCATGACTGATTACCGAAGCTTCGTGTGATATCATCGCTTCACTACCCTCGCTGTAATGCATGTCTTTCGTTGTCTTCGTTTGCGTGATGGATTAGCATCCACAGGTGAAGAGTGCTAGGAAAGGCTTGTGGGACACGCCTGTCGGACTCAATAACTCTTAAAGGCAACTTGTTAAGAGTTGTATTGACGTTGAGAACAATCGTGACGCGGCTGCCACATCTGCCATGCCGTATTCTCCACCCATTCCATTGCAGCTGGAGCGTTAAATTTTCATTGGAATTCTCCCAATTCAAACACCCTTATCAAATCCTACATGCACCACATATTTGAGCACTCTCCGGGGCCCTTAGTTGGCAGGATGACCCCAGCCAATCCGGCTGCGGTTCGGGCAGCCCGCTCTTCTCTTATGCTCAAACAGCAAGGTGTCCCGTGGTCAACGAGGTCAAGTCAAGTCACGGTGGTTCATCCGCGGAGCGGCTTGCACAGCCAAACACGAACTGTCTTCAAATGCAAGCAGCCACTAGCTGACGATGGATACCAAGGCTACGAGCGTGACTGTAGCTCATGGCATAAGAGGGTGTGGTTCGCACTTTCTGCGGCTACAAAAATTACTTTGATCACACTCTCATACAGGACTTGGTTTCTGTTGCACAGCGAACTTCGTCACACCACAGAGCACGCCGACCGGTCCCCGCCAGGACGAAGCTCACATGATAGCCTTCAAGAACGAGCACATACCACCCCGAGTTCAAACGCCGACTTCAAGCAGCGACTTTTTAACTCCCAACAATCCGGGACACGTGGGATGGCACCACTGGCGCTGCGTCTCTGGGCGTGACCACTTGGAAAACTTGCGCTTTCCACTAGACGGTGGAAAACTTTCAAAACAAAGGTATGCAACATATACGAGGCTGAACTTGTAGAGAACTCCTTTGGGGAGCTGCAAACCTGTTGCTATTTGCTGTGATTACCTTGAATTATCCGCAATCAAAGCTAGCGGTTCTAATAAAAAATAATTATTGAAATTCTGACTCGAAGGGAGTTCGTTCGTTGACCCCTTGCTTGTCAGCTTTAACAGCGACTACAGACAAATGTTGCTCGCAGGAACTAAGCACCTTGCACGTAGCTTTCCATATAACACCATGTAACCACGTAGATGTTGCCACAAGCACTCACCGCATGGAATGCAAAATCGAGGTCAGCGTATGTTTACGTGAAGTTACGCGATTCAGCAATCGGGACGGATAACAAACGTGACGATTTGTTTCTGAAGCCGCCTCAGCTGCCGTAAGTTTACGCCAGGATGCACCGCATCAAACGACAGCGTCATTTGCCCGGGCGACTATGCCTGCGAGGGGAGCCTAAAGGTCGCAAGGGAGGGGCAGGGGTGGGACGGGGCAGGGAGGAGAAGAAATGACCGGCGCAAGGTCAGCCGTGGTCACCGCCGTGCGCTAGCCTACGTCCCCCCCTCCCCTCCCCCGACGGCAGCCACCAGGGGCCGGGCCGGCTGAGCGAGGCGGCGGCGCGCCGTGCCAGCGGCGACCACCGTCCGGTGGTGCACCGGCGGCGCCTGCAGGCATCGGTACGCTGGTGACCCCGGGCAGCCCGGAGAGACGCTTCTCCCGTCGGCCGTCACCGGCGGGCCGAGCGGCCGCCGACGGGCCGGCGCAGCGACCTGAGCGCCGCCGGGCGCCGGCCGGCGGCGGAGGCGGCCCGCTGTCGACCCGCTGGCGGCCCGCCGCCGGGCGCCGGCCGGCGGCGGAGGCGGCCCGCTGTCGGCCCGCTGGCGGCCCGCCGCCGGGCGCCGGCCGGCGGCGGAGGCGGCCCCGCTGTCGACCCGCTGGCGGCCCGACAGCCGCGCCGCCACACCGAGCGACCTCGCAGCGCTGGCACTGACCTACGCTCGGCTGCCTCGGTGCTCCAGTACCATGGCCTAGCAACCGGCCAACAGCGGGGCCCCATCGATCGCGGAGGGCGGAGGACAGGTCGCCGATCGGCCGGGCACGCTTTCTATGGCGTCGCTGCACGCCAGCGAGCGGGCCGCCGGGCCCGTGAAGTTTGCAGCGGGCCTCAAGGCGAGGCGCCGACGGTCCGGGCCGCTCCGCGGTCATGCCCGGTGTCGGTGACAAACAAGCCGCCGAACAGCCCACCGCCAAAGGTACACAGGCCGGCAACGGAGGCCGCTTGCGAGCGGCGTGGGGGCACCAGTGGGAAGACATGCCCGCCAGCTGGACCCGGTGGCAGGACTGTAACGGCACGCCCGCCCCAGTGACACGCCACCGGTCCCGCCGAGCTCAGCTAGGCCAGGTGCCAGACGCGACATTGTGCTTATCGTTATCCCCTTCAATTATGGTTCGATGCAAGTTGTGACACAGATGTGGTTTATGACCGCCCGCTGTCGGCGTCCAACCAACCGGTACGTCGATTTTGGGAAGTAATCGTTGGTTTCTTATTCGAACCGATTAACTTCAAAAGATGAACTGCACCGAGCATAGCCGCGCTTACAGTCCAAACGTCTCCGGGTATACCATTTTTACAGACACCACAATGCAAACAGAGGACTTGACCTGGACAGGGGCCACGCCGAAGCACGGTCTGGCGTGACAACAAGGCCGCCTGCCATCGGCCGTAGACATGCAGGGTCAGCCGACTGATCAGGCCCAAGGCCGCACCAGTCTCGGCAGGGGGCGCCGCCTCGGCCCGCTCCACGGTAGCCGCTTTAACCAGCCAGCGTGCGGGTTGCACTCCCGTCTAAAAGAAATCATTTGCTGACCAGTCATGGCCGGGCTGTTCAGAAGCCGGGCGGGGTCCACTGAGGTCCGATTCGTAAAGCGCATGCGATCCAGCCGAAGCTCTTAACGATCACCTCCAAAAAGCGTCGACTTCTGGCATTTAACAAACTTCCTGGGCATCAAACAAACAGTAAATAGCCAGGTGTTCAGCACTGATCGCAAAACAAGCAGCCGCAAGGGCCTGCGGAGTCCCACCGAACCACTAGGAGCTGGCTACCACAGACACACTCGCCAGGCATGAGCAGGAATGCTCTCGCCCCAACTAATTGCTTCCCATGCGAATCTCCTGCCACCTGACATTTAGCTGTGCTGGTTATGCTTCAATCCATGGCCGTGTATTCTAATTATCCAGGTTTTCACAGCACATAATGTCAGGAGCAACGTGAAATGCCCTCATTAAATCAACATGGTGATCATGAGCCAACCCGTCGAAAACAAGTGGCTTTCTGATTTGATCAACTGACGAAAAGACAGTTGCTCAACGCTTTCCGATCCAAACTGAAATGCCAATAAGATGACAATTCACCTTCAACGTATAAAGACAGTAAATTCGCGTCAGATTTTTATAAATATTTCAGACCAATCGCACAGTGACGAAACTGGCCATGATTCACGACTTTGTTTTGATTTTCGTGTTTGTTTTGTTTGTTTCGACCGAGGCGGCGGGTCGGGAGATCCAAGCAGCCCGAAACTGCAGTTTCCGCGCCCAGGTCGTGCCAGTCATGCTTCTAACGCGGTTATATATTTGCAACCATTCCTCGCAGCACAAGCGCGTTTTCGGTTAATGGTAGCGCAATTCTGCGTGTTACATTATTGTCAAGGCTTCCTTGCAGGCTCCACAAAGTTGCAGTATGGTGGGAAAAACAAACATGGTGCATGGCGGGAAACGAAAAGGGACGTCGCAAAGACACGAACTTGCCTCTAACGCAGACGCAGAAGAAAACGAACAATCGTAATCATAATGTAAGAGCGGGCTGTGTGTGAAAAGGGCGATAGCACATGTTACGTGTTGTACGTTGTTTATGAATGCTTGCAGGTTCTATACCTCTTCCGTAATTACACCCTTTGTGGAGCCAATTTTTGTTGCTGAAAACCAAGATCCGCTGGAAGTGGGGGGGGGGGGGGGAGGGGGAGGGGAAGGGAGGGGAGGCGGCGAGATGAGCAGCCACTAAGTGCACGTCCGAAGTTGAGCACCGCCCCAGTCTAGGGGACCGTCCACCACCGTACGACCCACTCTCCCACTGCACAGCTCCACCTGGCCGTGACGTCACGGCCAGCGCCACGCTGCAAGGCTCGCGCTGATCGAATCTCGCCGCCGGCCGTGGCTCCCCCCACCCGGTCCCGGTCCCGGTCCCGATCCCGGTCCCGGCGCGCGCGCCCACCGCCACCGCTCCACTCATCCATAATGGATGACGGCTATTTCGAGCCGTCGTAAATCCAGGTGCTGAACGGAAAGCTCGGCGTACGTGGTAACAGCCCGGGTGCTAAAGACAGTCGGGGATCAGGCGTGCTCTCGTAAATACTCGCGTCCTTGCGGCGCCGAACCGTCCTTGCAGAGCAGCACAGCCTTGCAGCAGCACCTCTTACCACTTCGAGTGCGCTGGCTATGTGTGCTCAGTGCCACGTCAGGCACGGCTGGGAGCAGCTGCCCTGCAGCGCGACAAGGCGCAATGCAGCGAGGAGCTTCGATACGCCAGCAAGCGATCAGTGGTCACCGCCGGGCACTTGAGATGCTGCGGACTTTCGAGGGACGGGTCTGTCTTCAGTCACATCTGGCAAGACTGCGCGCAATCGTAAGCATCCAACAGTCGCCTCTCACCCACCCCCCTGTGAACCTAAAGCCCGGGTACAACTGCGCCTCATCATCATCAGTTTCAGCCCATGGCGGAGAAGCGGACGGCAAACAACACGCATATGACGCAGCAGTACCCCCCGCTGAGAAACAGTCAGGAGCAAGCGTCGCGACATTGCTACTGCCTGCATACGTCCTCCGCACAGTCAGTGGCTGCTCTTGAAGCACATCACAGTGAACCAGCAGTGCCACCGACCGCTCGCATCGGTCAGAAAACACATCGCAAAAGGCGGTAATCCGTTACGGGAGCTCGTAGATCGGAACATAGCCTAAAACAACATTGTAATCCCTACTCTGCGGCGCTAGCGGTCGATAGTCGTCTCTCCAGCTCGGGAGGGGCTAACTGCTGCAAGAGATTGTTCGCAGCGTTGGTACGTGTGCAATAAACCATCTAACTCCACGACGGTGTAAACAAACACGGACTGCCGTCCTAAATACTGACAACAGGACAACATGCAGTTAAGTCTCAACCTGAAGATTTGACGCCCGTGAACACCGGCCACGGTTGGTGCGCGTTAAATGACCTTTGCCGGGGATTCCAGACCGTACTGACACGACGCCTATGCACCTCCTTGTGTGCAGGTGTTGCCAGGCAACAGCCGGGCGCAGAAGCCCCCGGATGCGAGTGTCTCAGGCCGCAGCTAGCCTGGGGCCAGCAAAACACACAGGACGCTCACAAAGTCCCTTTGAGACCATTGCCTCGGCCAGCGTTATACATCCCGCTGCGATCCTCTTTGAAAAGAGACACTTTCACAAATTCATCATTCCTTGATATGAAGCAGAAGCGCGAAGCCGCAGCGACGCACGCCAATCAAGCGGCTTCGAGCGTCGGCGACTTCACGATGTCACAGGCCCCCGGACTCCGAGAGCCCGTAGCCGGTTAATGCCGCACAGAGACGCAGCCTGCCGCGGTGTGGCTGTACATTGGTGCGCTGTCGCTGGGCAGGTTTAACTGTCGGTGAATGGCACTTCACCACAAGCCGATTCCGACCGCCCAGCGCAGTTCTCTTTAGTGGAGTGGGCGACTGCCTCACTCCGAGCAGTTTGGTGCCACATGGAGAAAAAAGCAAAGCTCAGAAAATCTGCGACAAAAACTGCGATAAAGGATGCCAGCCTGAAGCAATCGGGACAAATTGCTGAGATGCATGCATGGAGAAAATCGAGACGAAACGCATGGCATCTCCGTCTTATTCCAGCGATGCATTTTACCTTTTTTCTCGACCGATCGCGACTCTATACTGTGTACTGTCTGTCTAACTGGAGTTTTTGTTCGCTCATGCCCCTCAGGGCCAATAACAAAGCCAATCACGTGTTTACACAATTAACAACCAGCACCTGTCTCACCGGGTGCACTAACGCTGTTCGTGAACAGCACTAACGCTGTTCGTGCTGTTCGCTCGTGCAGCACTGTTCGTGCCACGCGCCCAGTGCGACGAGCTTCACGTTGTCAATGTACTGCCTACCGCGTGGTACAATGCGTGGGTCTCGGCTCCGGCGGTCAACAAACATCGTGTACAATCTTAGCTTGTCTCCTTGACTGCAGACCTGTTCGGCACAGTTGTTCGCCCAGCAGCCCGCCACCATCATCGTGCAGGCCAAAATGTATCCGTTAAGTCGATATCAATTCTGAGGAGGTACACCTCGCAAGCGCTCATCCACACCTACACTCTCTCTCATCATGCACCATCCAGCACTCACCACCTAACATCCACCATCCCTGCCACCATCTTTTACTGGCGACTACTCGGCCAGGCAAACTGTTGGGGCAACATCGTCTCTGAAGTCTGATCACAATACGGAGACCGCCACCATTCAGTGGGCTGCCGACTCCAGACAGTCTCATGTACAAAGAACCGCGAAAAACGTGCGATCCGGGGACGGCAGAAATCGACCGAAGGCCGTCAAGCTAACGCTCGCGTCGCTGTCATTTGGTTTCGGAGAGGCTCAAACACAGAGCACAGTCGTGATTCGTCTCTGTAGCCTCCGTAATAGTCAACCCCACACACATGTGTCCAGGCGTCCCTCTGGCTGTCCAAGTGACGCATCCTCTCCTGGCCTGACCCACGTCGGGTCTTGGCCGGCGTCTCCCTGTCCAAGTGACGCAGCCCCTCCCGGCCGGACCCACCTTGACCGGCGTCTCGCCGTCCAGGTGACGCAGCCCCTCGCGGCCGGACCCACCTTGACAGGCGTCTCACCGTCCAGGTGACGCGGCCCCTCGCGGCCGGACCCACCTTGACTGGGGTCTCCCTGTCCAGATGACGCCCCCCCCCCCCCGGCCGGACCCACCTTGACCGGCGTCTCGTCGTCCAGGTGACGCGGCCCCTCCTCGCCGGACCCACCTTGACCGGCGTCTCGCCGTCCAGGCGACGCGGCCCCTCCCGGCTGGACCCACCTTCACCGGCGTCTCGCCGTCCAGGTCGGGTAGGTGCGGGGCCTCCAGCTTGGTCTTGCGCCGCAGACCTGCGTAGCAGTAGCGCGAGTGACCGCGAGTGCCCAGCCTGCGCGGCCGCACGCGCGGGAACACCTGCTTCATCACCTTGCCGAAGTCGGCCGTGCTCAGGCCCTTCATGCTGTTGGTGCTGCAGTACACCCTGCAGGCCAGGCAAGGGTGCGCTGTAATGGGCGCACACTACCACAGTGGGTGAGCTGGTGACACAATCAGGTGTGCAGGAGGGTCCTGTGTGGCAGGCTGCTAGACTTCCCTTGGGGTAATCCTTTTAAATGCTTCATTTGCCAAGGGTTTAATGCTAAACCTTTGAAAAACAGGCATATATGACCAACTTGCCCTTCCCCCTTTCCTAAGGCTGGGGATGCAGAGGCAGGCTGGGACCTGGAACACTAAGAAAGGTCTGAGGAAGGTAGCATTGTTTCACTGGCTTTTCATGCAAGTGAAACCCATGGTGATGGAGCAGAGTGCATGGACACAGTGCAACAAGTTATGAGTCACTATTGCAGGCACTTACTTAATTTCACACCCTGCCTAACAAAAGGGAAAGTTGAGGCTGAGACCATGTGAATAATATATTAGCAAAGAGTTGGTGCAGAAGTTCCACTTCCATAAAACATCCATTTATGTGCAGGTATCACTCATGTGGTTGGTTATAAAGCACAGGTACACATAAGGAAAATAACCATGTTGATAAAAAAGCACATCTTAGCTTTCCAACAGCAGGATGCAGCATGGGTTACCTCTGTTGTGGGCTACATCAGACAACCCATGTTCAATATTTTAGAAATAAGCACCAAACAAGTGCAATGTGCAGGCTGAAAGAGTGCTGAACTTCATGACTTTCAGCACATAATTGAAAAGCTGTTTCCCTTAATGTTTTGAAAACATCAAACTTTTGATACTCAAAACAGGAAAATATGTCTGACAAGCAGACATGAAATTTGTATACACTAACAGCAGCATGGCACACCATACTGCACATCCTAAGCAGTTAAGATAAGCAGCAGATCCAATACTGGTATCAACCAGAAACTGCTACATGAAAAATTCAATTCAAAGATGAGTCCAGTAGTCCACAGATGAGTAGATACAACCTTTGTGTATTTTATAGAGCATTTTCCTGCTTGGAAGCACGCATTGTACACAACCACTCACTGGTATTCATCATAGACCTCATGCTTGGGCATCGACACATCCTGGTCTTCCTCCAGGTGTGTGCGGATCCACATGATGGTCTGCTGGATCTCAAACCTGCTGCCCAATGGGTTCAGGGGTCTGTAACAGCAAAATAATGGTGAGATGCTGCACATAATGTCTGGGCATATGATTACTTCATCTAGAGAAGTATAAAAGCACATGATGCATTTATGACGAGACACATCATATAAGACTTGTCCACTATCAACCAGGAGAGCACAGCACCAAGTTGCACATTCAGCAAGCAGATGTATGACCTGACTCACATCTTAAGTGGATCAACATCATTGTTCTTCCCAGCTGGTAGTTTGAGGTAGAGCAGAAGTTTCTCCAGATCTGATAGCTGATCCACCTGCTGTAAGATCCGATCCACTACTGCACAGGATTCAGAACTGAAATGAGCAGACAAATAATCACTTCTCAGTTGGAATTATTAGTGGCAGGCAAATAGCAGAAAACTTGACTAAGTGAGAGAGTTACCATGACAACATGATCAAGCGAGAGTTACCATAACAAACTGAGCTCCCAGCACCTAAATGCACCAATATCATTTACTACTCACATGAATTCCACTTTTCAACCATACTGACAATGACCAAGGGTGAAGCAATGACGCTGAAATACTCCACTACCTAAAGCATATTTCCAGGTATGCATACATACATTACACGATATATATATTGCTTAAAATTCAGCCATTACTTGGCCCTGTAACTATATATTCAGAAACCAAAATTACAGATGCATAAAAAACAACTCCAGCAAAATGTCTGACAAAACAAACCTTCACAGGTTTGGACTGACACTACATCAGCAGCAGATCCCTGATAACGGATTTAAGAAAAAGGCTGGCAGAATAAAAACTTTACCAACATTTTCCACAACAACGTCGTCTGATTCATTACTTTAAAGTTGCTTACAAAGGAGTTCACAGTTTTCATAAGAAACATGGCCAAACAAAGATGGTTTTGTAAGAACTACTCATTTGTTACATGTGAAGACCTAAGAACCAGCCAAGTCTCAGTCTTAGCTTCAGTTTCAGTTTCAGTCTTTGTCTCAGACTAAGTTTCAGCCACATTCTTAGTTTCAGTTTGTCCCAGTCTCATTTTCAGCTTCGGTCTCAGTCTACACCTCAATCTCAGCTTCATTCTCATTCTCTAAGTGTCAGTCTCAGTGCCAGTCTCAGTCTCAGTCTCCATCTCAGTCTCAGTCTTGGTTTCAGCCTCAGATCTCTGCTTCCGATACTGCTGCTAAGACAGGACATATATGGAAGCCAAGGATGGCCAGTGTATATTTTAACAAGTGTCCCAAAGAAGCAGAAGTTAGATTCATACCATATTGCCCAACTAGCTTACACAAAACCTATTAAAAGAATGTTTATAATTTCACATGCTATGCTATGTATCTGGATACAAGTGCTAGGACTATGTTAACAATCATATAAGTTATGCCTTAAGGCTAGGTTCAAACACAGTGAGATCCAAGACAGTCCTCCTCCTCTTTTCCCACTATGCATATTTCACAAGGTCATAAGATTAGGTTACCATGACACGCTTCTCATGCTGGCATGCACTCTTGCATTTTGTTCATAACAGTTCCAAAACTGCTTAACAGCCATATTAAGTGCTTAGATCAGAGACAAAAACCTGACCATGTTCCCATAATCCATCTGTTCCAGGCATTATTGACATTGTTGCAAAATTGCAGACATTGTTGCTAAATTAATCTGATACTAATGCAAACACAAAAGAGTGGCATGAAGGCTATGTCCTATCAGCAAATAAACCAAAGGCTCAGTGATAAGATGGAAATTGATACCAGACAGCAAACATTGATTTTATAAATTTATGTTGCTAACTAGATCACACCATCCTAAAATAGCATACAGCCACTAAAATGCAAAAGCTCCACTCACACACTTGGCTCTGAGGGGCAATGACACATTGGAACACAGCACCATTCCCTGCAATTGCAAATTGCAGCAGCACCATTTGAATCTACAACATAAGTAGATGTGCAGCAATAGCACAAAACACATCCATGAATAACCTCATGCAACATCATACAGATCACTGCCACAGCTGCAACATAATCTGCACCACCAACTTCATCAAAACACATGGCCATCTCCATGTACATACTTACCTGCAGGCAGCTTCCACCACACTGTGGAGCTTGCTGGTTTTGCTAGCCTGTTCACTGTTATGGGCATTCTGTATGCCCATCTGAGTTTGATCATCACTCCATGAATTTGGATGACAGTTCAAATTATTGAAATCATTTTCAACACCACCGTAATTTTCCAAAGCCCCTTTGTTGGCAGTCGCCTCCATCCTCCTTAGACGTGTTTCACTCTAAATGGGCGCTTCAGACGCACTGATGACAATTAGTTCCAGCATGATTCTGCAACAGCCCCAAGACGAGCGGCTGTTCAAACGCATGTAAGAGAGCTAAGACTTGTTTAATTTTCGTGTCATGTAATCATGACGCTCCAAACGTAAAGTATGATACAGTATTATTAAAAGCAATCCATGGTAAACCACAACACCTCCCACTTCCCAAAGCTGGCCTTTGGCGACACAGGCTGATTTTTAGGGATGTTAAATTATACGCACAAGAAATTTCAAGGTCATACAAAAGTCTCAGTGAATAAACAAACCATTCTTCTGAAACATGTTTAAAATAAAAATAAAATGGCGCGTAATTCATTAAACGTCTTTTCTGAGTCCAATCCACGGACAATTATCCAACACACAAAAGAGCTCTATTGTAAACAAAACATGGACAATCAGCTGACTTTGTATCAAGAGCTCAAGAATACATAATTTAGCTATCAAAACTAGAGGCAATTTGTATTGTACAAAAGGCTATAAATACAATCTTAATGTTGTTAAAATATTGTTTTCTCAAGAAAAATTGCAAATTATTATAATATAATTGCATAAATCGAACTAAACTGCATTAATTTAAGAAACCGAGACTAAATGCGCCAATACATCCGGGACTCCTGCGCACATGATATGCGCAGTAGCCAAAAACCTGTCGAACTCCTAGACGACTGCTGCTCTCCAAGGTAACGTCAACAAAGTTGGTCGGGTGAAAGTACGTGCGTTGTCTGGGTGAATTGTAAATTTCCTGGGGCCGTTGTCGTGCTAATTCTGATTTTCGTCTGTTCCTTTTGTTGTTAGGGATGATCTTAAGCCACTGGTTGTGCCTCACTGCTCTTAATGATCCGCTCTCTGACGAACATTTGGTCGCGGGGCTCCTGCGTCATTGTTCTCAACCAACTACTGTTTGGGATAATATCATCCAGTTGGTGCTGTCACCACTTTGTAAACGCATGTGTTGGAGTTAATTTGATAGTTCTTTGAGCTATTAAAGTTATTGATCTACCTTACCTCAGGTACCTTTGACTTTCCATATGTTGCTATCATGCTTTGTGTGACTTTGGGAGGCTACCTTTAAAGGAATTGAAGGGTTAAGGTTATAATGTATGTATTCAGGATTATAATTGTGTTTATACTGGGTCAGCAGTGTAAAGACATTTTGCAATGGGCAAGGGATGTCAGTTATTTGGGGGATGTATTCAGTGGTGGTTCCTCAGTCAGGTGATCTGATAAGTGTGATGGGAATGTAGTTTTCCATGATGATAAGATTATAAACATGTTACTTTATTTCAGTATAAAAAATGCACCATTGAAATTGTAGACATAGGTTCAACCTCTAAATTAAGTTGCATGCCCCATTTGACTAAGATAGTACAGTTCGAGAACTTTCACCAGTGTGGTTTACTGACGATCACAATAAATGTTCTTTCACTTGAATTGCTGCCTTTGTTGGCATGACTACAATAAGTATGAATGTCAGAGTATGAACAGTAGCTGCTCTTCATGCCAGGATTAGTAGCAAGAGGTGCCATGCAGCCTCAGAAACTTATTGTATTATAAAACTCCAATGTCATTGGCATAAAAGGTCATGGTTCTAGGATACCATGGCATAAAATTACTTAAGAAGTCAAATCTGGATGGGAAGTCATAGGAGCATGCTGATAAATGCTGTTTAGAAGTGGTTATATTCACCCTGAAGATTAGGGCTGAAATTTCCCAAAGTAAATCAGGATTGCAATTGCCATTTTTTGGTCAGTTCTTTTCATGCCATGATGGATCTTATGGTGACAAAGGGCATTAAAAGATCCAATATGCTTTATTTTGATGTGTGATTATGTGATGTGATGTGTGATGTGTGATGAGCAAGAGATGTGTGAAATGCCCAAGATATTACCACTATGACCAGTATGCAAAGTAATTGCTAACCAACTAAAGATTATGATAATTATGGTGTAATATCTTGTTCATGCAACCTATATGAGTCTAAAACAATCTTAAACATAAGAAAGAGATTATGCATGCAAGCTTCTATGTTAGCTTAGTTTTAATGGCACAAATGGCATTTATTTTCAAATTTAACCTTATAGCTACATTAGATGGTCCAGTCCAAGACATGAGCAGATGGTTATAATAAGCAAGCATGGCATTGAAAGAAAATGCCAGTTTTGCAGATATTTTCATGGTACCATATGATGTGCCTAGTAGAAAGATGAGAGGGCTGAAAAATAGTGAATTTCTGAGTAGCTATGAGTTAGGGAGCTAGATAAGTACCTTGCATGCACTGGATCACTAATAAATATTTCTTAACTGTGAACTAAGCCTCATCAAACTAGAAATTTGATGTATCCATTTGTTGAAATTGCTAGCATGTAACCCCTGTCAATCAGGAGAGGTGATTTCAACCATCCAGCTGCAATAATTCATGCTATTGTCATTTTGAATGGAGTCATAAGACATGTTTTTGCGGAGGTTGCCTTTATCAGAAATTCTATCAAATGCTGTTGTGACTGAGTCATCTTGTCAGGTCACTGGACTGTGATGCTACCCAAAAACCTGCAGACCTGCCTCATATTTTCCTATTTATTTGTCAGGTGTGGTACAAAAGGATATAGAAGAGGTTTCAAATGGTGATAATTATCCACACCTTTTATAACCTTGTTGGAGTTTAAGAGCATTGTATACAATGTATTATGTTGAATATAACTCAGAATCTAACAAGGAAAAGGGTAACCCATTGCATTTGCCAAACATTTCTTGCAAGAGTGTAGCTAGCACCATTTCAAAGGGCACTATGGTGGTTTGCAAAAATCATGTCAGTATACTTATATTGATGACTATGGTCAAGTCTTTCGCAGCAGTGTGAACATTGCTGGTTAGTTGTGATGGGGTATTCAAATTGCCTACTGATCCATGACCCCTGGACAAGAAGCAAATATTTGGGATCTCAGTGCCATTAGCTACCAATATAAAACATATGAATGTTTTTCATAGGGCCATGAAAGTGCAGAATGTGATGCATTTATGTGCACTCATGCCTTAAATCCCATGATGTCTTGCTTTTGTGAGACAACTGTCTTTCTCTCAGCTGGTCTGCACTGCTATATATATATATATATATATATATATATATATATATATATATATATATATATATATATGTGACATTTTGAATTGGCCCAAGTTTTCTGAACTGGACCCAATTTTGTGTAGTCATGTATGCTGTCACTTGGTATGACATCTTGTTCATCCTCAAATACAAATATGTTTCATTACATCACTTTTTACCTGTCATGATATGTTTCCTCAAAGGCTGTTCCAGAGAAATTCAGTAGATCTTCAATGAAACTACTTTGGCCAAAGCTGAAGCTACTTGGAGCTAAGCTTTGTTTTGTCCCAAAGGGCTGTGAGACCTACTAGACCTACCTATTGCAAAATGCATCATGTCTGACCTTGTTTACAGCAATTACATTATTAAGAAAGTTTGACACCTGTCTGTTGATTTAAAACAAAATAAGTGTGATTTTAACTTCCCATAATTCAAAATCAACACTTCATTATAGTCAAAACTTCTGACTACACATGTCACTCCAACCTAGCCTCATTTGCAACCCAACCTGTGCTCCTACTGCAGGCCCTTTCCATTTCCTATGCCAGTCCCAACTCTTTATGCCAAATACTTCTCCAAATCTTGTAAACTTGCATACCCTTTACACTTACCAGCTTGATAAAAACCTTGCTATTGGGCTGAATGACCACCACAGTCACTGTGTAAACACCAACAAGTAATCAATGGTGCATTCCCTACTACAGCCAGCCAAGGCAGACAATCCTTCATGCACTACACAATATGTGCCCACCATTCAGAGCTCTGAAAAATACAAACTTGACATTCTTCTGGTTACTAGGTGTTGGAAGGTGAGTGGGAGCAGTGAATAGCTGTTTTATCCAACAATTATGGTATGGTGCATAGGAACATGTGTGCACATAGAGTACTTGATGCCAGCAGCCTGTCAGCTGTATGCCATGGAAATAGCTGATGTTTGCAACTTGCCTTGTTCTGTTTACAGAAAATACACTGAAGGTCTTCCGGGATGGCGTACGATATGGATGACCAGGCTGAGTGCCCGCTGTGTATGGAACAGTTTGAGATGGATGATCTTAGCTTCTTCCCTTGCACGTGCGGGTACCAGGTGAGCCAGCATTTACCCTCTTCTGTGCAACAATGGCCAATTTTTATGCATTCGGACAGCGTGCCGGCATGCAATTACTGATAGTTTCAATGTGTTGGGTTCTCAAAGTGTAAGAGTCCTCTGCTTTGGGTGTCACTGGGGCTGTTAAAAATATATATGGGTCATTCAAGGTCATTTTGAATTTATCTCAGCTAGCCTTGTAAATTGCAGTGATTACATGATGTGTTGTACTCCATGTAGTGATTATATGCTATTGGTGTCAATTTTGAATGAGGTTTTAGATCTGGGTCATGGTGAGCCAGAATTTTCAGAAATCCAAGGCACTTTAATGCCTCTGCTGGAGCCAATGCTGCTATTGCAGGGATATGCTGTTTCAGGGCATCTGTTGCTGAAGGTAAAATGTGTTTAGCATGTGACATGGCTCCTTTTTCTTTGAAGTCATTGGAGCCATGCTGTGTATTGAACCAGGTGCATTGTGCAGGGGTGTAAGGGTGTGTAGACAGGGGGAAATGGACACCTTGATGTGATGTACCTGGTAGCTAACCATGTGTCTAACTTGTGAAAACTGAACAAATGGTGCCGACTATTGTTTGATGGTGGAGTGCCATGTGTCTGGGGAAACTGAACATGTATGTTGGAATGACTCTGAAGCTCCTCCCTGAATGATGTGAAATGTAACCTTCCCCATCTCCCTGTATTTCTAGGAGCTTTGTTGGCAGCATTTGTGAGCATAGCTTAATATTATTTAGATAAATTGAGAATGTACTAAAAGGGCCATTTTGTTTGCTGTTCTGGCCATTGCTCTATGCTCCATTGTTCTTAACTGGCAAGGAATGGAATGCAGGATGCCCTCATGTGTACTGAGTCAAGTACCAAAGGTTTAAATCACCATTATGCACAATAAGAGTACATTCAAAGGAATACATTTAAAGGAATAAAAAAGATGCATTCAAAGAAATCATAGAACATTGTGCTTGATGTCAGGTCAAGGGATATCAATGATTTGTCACGCTCTGCCATATTTTTTTACAAGCAGCTTTTGCCTACACCAGCACTTTTTGTTCTGGAAATTTCCATGCTTGTAATCAATCTGAGATGTACTTTTATGGTGCAGCTGGGTGTCATTCAGTGTTGGTCAAATAATCAGACACTAAGTTTTTTTGTGAATGGAATATTTCTAACCAGGAAAACTGAGGGTCAGATTTTACCCCCTTTGTTCCCTTGAGTTTCTCATGTGCATAATGTTCATGTGTAGATTGTGCTGGTTCAATCCACACTGCTAAGCTGACTATGAAATAATTGTCACTTGTTAGCTCAGACTTTTCACTTGCAATGTTCATTTTCAAGGATTTTCCTGTAGTCCTTTTTCCATAGACATGGGTGGATCACTTTTGTTACCAATGACATGAGAACTTAGATGCATTTTGTTATGGCTTTCAATCAAGTGGAAGCTTTGCATGTGTCGGTTCGCGTCTGATATGAACGCCGTCGCCCGTTAGTGGCGTCAAAACCTGTCATGCGGCGAATCCGTTGGGCGGTTCAAACTGATTGGCTCTCTGTCAACAAACTTATGGTTAGTGTCACACTGTGAGCTAAATAGTGTTTTTTGTAGCATTAGATAGCTTTGTTACACTAGAAATGTAAATTAAATAAAAGTCAATTGCTTATTGTATGATTTGGGTGACCCAGTTGTGTCTTCTGGCATAAAGTGTCAGAGCAAAGTCACTAGTCCTGCACATTCATTGAAATCATGTGGTATCTGCCGAAAGAACCTCCACAATATGATTGTAGTTTCAGAGCTTTATTTACAAGTGAATTGATTTATACACTAGGTCAGCACTACAATAATCAGGGACAATCCATGTGTATTGTTACCCTGATTATTGTCTTGGTTGAATCATATGTGTGTCCCTTTTTCATTTTCTGATCCAGCTGGTAGAACAAACAGGAGACTAGCTTGTTTTGGTAACATGTTATTCCAGGGGAATAGCTGCCAATGTATAATATCAAAGGGTGCCATTGAATGACTTGAGTGATATTGTAGTACGACGTCATGCCGGAAAATGCAGCCATTTTTGTCCTTGCACACCTTGGATTGTCATGTGGGACCATGTAGTGTAATGAACGTTCTTAAAGGCTGCTTGGAGGGATGGCAGTGATGCCGGTGTAAGCAGCCTCATCAACGCTATCCGTCGCACTTGACGCGCATTTGCAGCGTTACTTTTGCTTTACAGGTACGACGTTATCTGCCTGTTTTGGCATGCACCGCCACACTCTGCGTGACTGGGCGGATGTTACCAGATCCGTGAAGGCTGTCCCACAGTGGCCGGGGTGTTAGGAGATACAGCAGCTGAATGGAGCGGACAAGCGGGGCGTTTGGCTAATGGTTTGATAAGCTGCAGGGGCGGCCCGCACGCGCGCGTGTGCGTGCGTGCGTGCGTGCGTGCGTGCGTGCGTGCGTGTGTGTGTGCACCTGTCGTTGTCCACGCGCTGGAGCGGCCGGGCGGCCGGCGGGACCAGGAGAGTTGGAGTCTATCTGGCCGCGGCCCAGCTCCAGCTCCAGCCGCGGTCCGACCGCGATCGGGCGCTTACGGGCGACGTTCCCGCAGATCTGCCGTTTCTGCTGGCACCGGATCCGCACCGACGAGAACGGCCTGTGCCCCGCCTGCCGAAAACCTTACTCGGAGAACCCGGCCGACTTCAAGCCGCTCACCGCCGAGGAGCTGCAGAAGATCAAGGCCGAGAAGAAGCAGAAGGACCTGCAGAAGAAGCAGAAGATGAGCGAGAACCGCAAGCACCTGGCCAACGTGCGGGTGGTGCAGAAGAACCTGGTGTTCGTGGTGGGGCTGTCGCCGCGGCTGGCCGACCCGGACGTGAGTGGCCTGTGACGCAGCCGTGCGGTCGGCCTCCTGCTGCCGGCGCGCCGCCGCCGGACGGGGCTGTGGCACGGCCCGTCCGGCCCGTCCAGGCGGCGTGCAGCATACGCGACTGAGCTGTTGTTCTGTTGAATAGGGCTGTGGTTTGTTGCGTGCTGAATCAGCGTGAGTCAGCACCAGATGGGTCTGTGTTTTAGATGACGATTGTCTGTAACTGGTAAAGGTGGGTTACGCTGTAACCTTGGTGGATGCTTTTCTTCCCAACAACGATGCCCCACGGTCACTGTGTTGTGCCCTTCTATTTCAGGTGTTAAAACGTCACGAGTATTTCGGCAAGTTCGGCAAGATCCATAAAGTAGTGATAAACCATAGCACGCAATATGCTGGCTCTCAGGTAAGCGGACGTTGTATGCCGGAGGCTCTGCGGGTCCGGTGGCGTCCACGGTGACGACTTCGTCCCATTTCATTGATCCGTAGACGCCTAAGATGGAGCCAGAAGCCGAGACGACTTCCTGGTGTGTTCACGCGTCACGACTAAGCGGGGGTGGAAAATCGATGGCGTTCTGGGTGACTTCGAAGCAAGAAAATGTGCGCCGCACGGAATGCGAATCGCTACATTTAGCTGTGCTCATTCTGGGGAGATTTGATTTGCCAAAGATGACAGACTAAGTAACATCTGGTAACAAGCGTTCCACATCTGGTCTTTGGTATGGATTCGTCGCTGGTTGGCTGCAGTTTTGCATGCATTGTCCGAACCGAAACTTCGCCGATTGGATCCAGTTATTGCCTCGTATGTGTACGTGGTAGGTCGTAATTCTTGATGTATGCAGAGACTGCGGGCACAATCTGAGCTGGGGCTCTGCACATGGCATTGCTACACAACCGCTTCAGATGCAACGGCTGGCACTGAAGGCGAAACATCCGCCGTCACCGGAGCGCCCTTCCGTTACCCAGCTGGCCCCTAAGCTCCGCGCAGCTGTGTGCGGGGCTGTCGGGGCGGTCAACTCCAATCTCCGATCCAAATAAAATCTCCTCCAATCTTCTCTCCTCCTTCTCCAAATAAAACTCCAATCAACAACAACTGTCGAGGCGGTGTTGGGGAGGGAGGGGGGGGGGGGGGTCTGTACCCCGTGGTACGCGTGCCCCAGACATCGGCGGCCTTCACTGGCCGTTTGACGCAGTGTCGCGGTCTGTCTCAGGGCCCCAGCGCTAGCGCCTACGTCACCTACTACCGGTCGGAGGACGCGTTACGGGCCATCGAGGCCGTCAACAACGTGACGGTGGAGAACCGCACGCTGAAGGCGTCGCTAGGCACTACCAAGTACTGTTCGCACTTTATGAAAAACCAGCCCTGTCCGAAGACGGACTGCATGTACCTGCATGAACCGGGTAAGTGGGTCGGCACGGGTCGAAAAGGGTCGGAGGCACGCGGCTAAGTTGCTCTGGGGTGGGGGGGGGGGGGAGGGAGGGGGGCTGGATACCACCCAACGTCAGATTTGTGACGAAGCTTTGTGGAACGCTTAACATGTCATTGCTGGGGCTGCGGCTGTTTAGATATTGATGTCAGTGTTCAGATCTGTGTTCCAGAAGTCAGGAAAACATGTTAATGGTAATCTCTGGCTTTGACGTGATAAATAACTCGCAGATATACTAGCTGCGATTACTGGAACGCGGTCGTCTCCCCCTCTGCTCTCTTTCTCGGGTGTTGTGGGTCTGACGGTTTGGTAACGGTGGCGGTATCAATGGCACGGCAAGAAGCGTATGCCAAGTACCAACGGTACTCCGGTATCCTGAGACTGTCCCATATTACAGGCGATGAGGCGGCCAGCTTCACGAAGGAGGCCATGCAGCAGGGAAAGCACCAAGAGTACGAGAAAAAGCTTCACGATCAGCTTTATCAACAACACCAAAATCAAATCAACCGGGCGAAAGACCGGTACGCCGTCGCCGTGCTGCGGCCAACGCTTTGTTTTACCGTGCGAACTGTCAGTGACGGTTCCTGTGACTTCGATTTGTGTGTGTCTATCGTGTCGATTTGCGCGATGTGACACCGTGTTGGGAGAGGCGACCCTTGCGCCCAGTGTCGTTGACCGTCGCTGTTGCCGGACGCTGGCTTGTGAACTATGTGTCCCGCCTCCTCCGTGGCGGTGACACCCGTCCGAGCTGTGTGTCGCGCCTCCTCCTCCTCCGTCGCGGTGACACCCGCCCAAGCTATGTGTCTCACCTCTTCCTTCTCCTCCGTCGCGGCGACACCCGTCCGAGCTGTGTGTCCCGCCTCCTACTCCTGCGTCGCGGTGACACCCGTCCTAGCTGTGTGTCTCGCCTCCTCCTCCTCCGTGACGGTGACACCCGCCCGAGCTGGGTGTTCCGCCTCTTCCTCCTCCGTGGCAGTGACACCCGTCCGAGCTGTGTATCCCGTCTCCTCCTCCTCAGTCGTGGTGACACCCGTCCGAGCTATGTGTCCCGCCTCCTCGGCCGTCGCAATAACGCCTGCCCGGCCGGCGCGTGTGTGTGCTGCAGGCGGTCCCACCAGTCGCAGTCTGAGTCCGGCTCGGTGCCCATCCCGCCCGGCTCGGAGCGCGTGAGCAGCGCTGAGAACAGCCCTCCCGACGGCGGCTCGGCCGGCTCGGCCGGCTCGAGCGGCGGCGGTGGCGGCGGCGGCGGTAGTGGCGGCGGCGGCGGCAGCTCCACCTCCAACGGTAGCTGGCCGCTGCTGCAGGCGACCAAGAAGTCGCGCGGCCGCAAGGGTCGTAAGCGGAACGCTGGCGGCCAGAGTCCGAGCGTGGTGGTGGCGAGCAATCACTCGGACGACGAGAACAGCGCCGGCTCGCGGGAGCGCCAGACCGACAGCAGTCGGTCGACGCCGCTCTCGCAGTCGGCCCCGCCGCTGCAGGTGGGGCCGGCCGCCACGCCGCCGCCCGAGCCGCCCGCTCAGCCGTCTCCTCCGCCGCCTCCGCCGGCGCCGGCGCCCGTGCCCGTGCCCGTGCCGGCGCCCGAGACGACCGCCGTGCGGTCCGCCTCGCCGCCGCCGCCGCCGCCGCCGCGCGCCGAGCCGCTGGCGACGTTGACTCCGCCGCCGGGCCTGTCGCACCCGACGCCGGCTTTGACGCCAGCGTCGTCCTCCGGCTCGGGCGAGTGGCTGCTGCCGGCACGCGCCGCCGACGCCACGGTGGCGGCGCTGCTCAGCCAGCCCACGCCGCCGCCCGAGGAGGACGACTGCCCGCTGGACGGCGCCGACGACGATCTCGACTTTGACCCGTTCGAGGAGACCAAGAAGGGGCTGGGTGCGCTGCTGGAGCGTGAGCGCGAGCAGCAGGCGCAGCTGCAGCAGCAGCAACAACATCAGCAGCAGCAACGGCACCACCATCACCAGCAGCAGCAGCATCTGCTGCGGCTAGGCGGTGGCCTGCTGCCACACTCGCAGTCTCAGTCGCTGGCGGCCGCTAGCTTTAATGTGCCGGGAGGCGCGGCGCCGCGCGTGCGCCCGCCACCGCCCGGCTTCAGCGGCCCCAGCGGACTAGGCCTGGGCCTGGGCTGTGCGCCACAGCAGCCGTCGCCAGGTGACTAAGAGACACCGCCTCCCCGCCGGCCCGCAGGCCTACCAGCCTCTGTTCGGCTAACCACTAAGCTTAAGTGTTTTGATTTGCTTGATATGGCACAAGGCAGGAACTGCGCTCTTCCAAGCAGGTTATTTGTTGTGGTCGTGCCAGGCGCTTTGACGTGTTCCAATTTCAAAGTGGCATACAATTATCACACCAGAGTCATGTTTGTTTTGTTCATGATTTGGTGATCGCTGGTGGCTATTGGTGATAGATTGATGGTGCAATGTAAGATCGCACACTGTGTTTTCCCCAGCATTTCGTCGATAACAGCGTTTGGTTGGTGTTGCAGATCTATGTGGCAGCAAGATGCTGCCCTTCCTCAATAATAGCGCTATGAACGGTATGAACGGGTTGAACGGACTGAGCCGGCTGCCGCCGGGTCGGCCGCGGGCGCTCTCTCCGCCGGACAGCCTCTTCTCGGACCTCTCCAGCATGATGATGCACGGCCAGAGCAAGCCGCCGCCGCCGCCGCCGCTGCAGGCGGCGTGTCATGACGCTCTCAAGGACTGGCACGGCCTGAAGAAGCACTTCCCCAACATCAACATCTCGTTCAGCAGCGCACAGCCGGCGACGGCGCCGCCGCCGGGCGCGGCTCGGTTCGGCGCCCAGCCGGGCCGGCACGCGGTCCCGCACGGCCTGGTGCAGCACGGCGCTGCACCCCGGTTCATGGCCCAGCCGCACAAGACCAGCTCGGCAGGTACGGCCGCTGCCGCTAGACAGACGCCCCGCGCGCCAACATGACGCAAGTTTGGCAGATGTTGCACTATCGCCGGGAGGGCAGGGCGCGTGAAAGCATGGAAGGGATCAGAACGGTTTGTTGTGCGGATTTGAGCCTTGTTGAAGAAGAGGCTTTTTATGTTTTTATTGCGCGGTGTGGTAATTATTTCTCTGAACCTGTGCTGTTGGCGTGGTAATTAGTTTACGAATGCCCAACTTTCGGAAGGATGAGTCGACCCTTGTCAAGATGAAGCACGGAGTTCCTTCGTGCGTTGTTCATCAGGCACAGGCCTTAACTTGATCTATGGTCGCAATGCGTATGTCAACCACTACGAATATTCATCAGTTATCTTTTCCCCGGGGACCACTTGCTCTAATCAGCCTCTCATTCGACTCACGTCTTGGAACTCGTTTTTTCTGCGCATGCTGGACTTCCACGAAGGCCAGTCGAGCGTGGGTCCGTGCCGACTCCCGCTGACTCCCGCCCCGGTGTTGTCAGCTTCTAGAGCGTCGAGAGTGGCAGGTGAAAAGCGCGTGGGTGGTGACATGACGCGACGCGTGCGCGCGTCGGGCGTGACGACGTGACGTGACGCATGCGCGCGGGCCGGCAGGCTGGAGCGGCGGCTCCGACTGGACGGCCATGGATCCAGCGATCGTGTCGTCGGGCCAGCTGGCGGCGCCGCGCTCCGACTCGCCGCCGCACTGGCTGCGCTCGCTGGAGCAGCTGACCGAGACGGGCCCGATGTACCCGCCGCCGGCGCCGCGGCCGGCCGCCGCGCCTGCCCTCTGGACGTCCACCCCGCCGCCCGGCTTCAACCCGGCGCTGGGGCGCGCCACTGCCGACAGTGAGTGTCGTGTGGTGGGGAGGGATTGGGGTTGCTTATAAAAAACATCGATTTTTATTCGTCATTGTGACGTGAAGGTTATCTTGTATTGGTCCGCACCTAAAAATAGAAATGCAAAACTGGCATGAATGTGAAATGAGATATGGTGTGGCGTTATTCATGCTTCGTTTATAACAGTGTGTCAATGTGATGTGAACAAACACCTGCCATGCCCAGTGCTACTGGGCCGTGGCCTCGCCAAAGCCTCAAGCACGACATATGGAACCGTAAACATCGCTGCTCACCACTCAAGCTCACCGCCGCAGAATGAGAACTGTTGTCGGCATGTTTACGTTTGAAAGGTGTATGTAACATGTGGAGGCGATTTTAAAACGAAGTCATTTATTTTCTTGAGAGAATCGCGCTGATATGTTCGCCCTGTCCCAGGCCTATCCTAATTCCTCAGAGGCTTTGTGGCGCCTGATTTCGAGCGGGCTGAGCGACACTTGGTTTATTAACAAGAGTATGGCGATGACCCAGAGCCATGACAACCTTAATCAGCAGTGTTGCGTGGCCTGTGCCGCCTAAAGAGCTAACTGGAAAGTGGTGAACAAAAAAATACTGCCCGTCGCACACGGACCAATTATTGATCCGTTATCATGATCTTTGGATTTCCGGCTCACAGCCGCGAAAATCCGTAGTCACTCGCACAGTCTGAGCAGAAGGTGGTGAGTACTCGCGGCTAGCACCGCCGGGAGACGGACGCAGTCGATGGCTGCGAGTGCTGCCGGCCGTGTCCGTTGGCTCTGTTGGCCAGTGCGCCAGCCTGAGCGTGACGTCGCGTCACGGACCGGGCCGGACGTGGCCGGGCAGTGTCCGACAGTGCGCCAGCCTGAGCGTGATGCCGCGTCACGGAACGGGCCGGACGTGGCCGGGCAGTGTCCGACAGTGCGCCAGCCTGAGCGTGACGTGTCACGGACCGGGCCGGACGTGGCCGGACAGTGTCCAACAGTGCGCCAGCCTGAGCGTGATGCCGCTTGACGGAACGGACCGGACGTGGCCGGGCAGTGTCCGACAGTGGGCCAGCCTGAGCGTGACGTCGTGTCACGGCCCGGCCGGACGTGGCCGGGCAGTGTCCGACAGTGCGCCGGCCTGAGCGTGACGTCGCGTCGCTGACCGGGCCGGACGTGGCCGGACAATGTCCGACAGTGCGCCGGCCTGCGCCTGACGTCGCGTCCCTGACCGGACCGGCCGCAGAGGAGCGCTGACGCTGACGCGCCGCCCGCCTCTGCTTGCAGACCTCTAACCTGGAACAGCCAAACGGAATCACACAAGCCGCCTGAATCTGTCGTCTTCGATCTGCCTCTGCGCGCCAGCCGGCTGCCAGTCGGCCGACGCCAGCGTCTGGAGCCGGTCTCGTTTCTGTGGCAGCGTGAAGTCAAAATTCGTCCGGTGCATTTAGGTTGGGGTCGGCCGTATATCTCTACGTTACTGTGCTAATGTGGTGTCCGCCAGGAGAGATCATGCCGAAATCTGTGATGATGCAACTCTGTTACGAGCCCCGCGGGGAAGCCGGTGCCGTCATGCGAGATAGAAACCATGGATATATGGCGCCATCCCACTGGACGATTGCGTTTATGGCATTTGTTGGAGCCGGGTGGATTTGGTGCGCAATGTGTTTGAAACGCCCCAGGCGCAGAGGTTATTATCGTTTGCTCACGTCGGGCCTTGGAAGCTGGATCCCTCGGATGCTCCGGCGTGTGGCGTGGCGCGCTCCGGGCCCCTTCCAGCGGCGGTGGCGGGTGGCACGGGTCGGGTCCGTTAGGCCCTGGCTCGTGCTTGCCACGTTGGCCTGGGTACGATGCTTACGCCAAGCGGTCGGGCAGACCCGGCTGTACGCATGGCACCGCTGGTCCACCGCCGGTCGGTATGTGGGCCACGCGTCGGCGGGGTCTGCCGACCCACCGCGCGCTGGTCCGGGCCTCGCCGTGGCTGGTGCGGGTCCTGGCGAGGGTAGGATAGAACGGGACGCTGGACCGGGCGGCCGGGGGCGGACACCAGCGGCGGCCGCAGGGGCCGACTGGCGGTGGATGGGTGGTCACAGCGGGGCCGGAGGCCCGCCGAGCGGGTCCGGGGCCGCCGCTCAACCGGAGGGGTCTTTGAGTTGGGGCGAAGGCCGGCCGCCGCGGCGCCGGGGACGAACGGACAGAACCGTGAAGAGTATATGTGCGCGCGGCAGGAGGACAGCGGGCGGAGCGGGCGACGGAGCGAGCCAGATAGGTACATGTGCGCCGAGTCAGTTCAGGGAGGGACGGTGCCAGCGGCGGCGGCCGAGCCGGGTCGGAGGTGACCATTGGGCACTCACCGTGTCACTGTGTGTTATGTTGCCTTGACCCATTCTCCGATTGGTTTAACTTCAATCCGAAAGTACTTGGCAATCTTTCTGAAATAAAGAAGCGACTCCTTGCAACTGATTTTCGTGCGATGGCTGTCAGATTTATGGTTTCGTGGCTGCAAAATAAGCTGTAAACGCGAAGAGCGCCTGGCTGTAGTTGGCAAGTGTTCCAGAATCCCGCGTCGCTCGCAGATTGTATTTCGGGTTGTGCTGGCGTGTGTCTCGACATGACTAGGCCATCTGCTTCGTCGCGACAGAGTGCGGGCGACAGGCACCCGGCGGCCGCTCACCCTCGGGCCTCGGAGCACTGGGCCGCGCGCCCGATAGTGCAGGAGGTGCGGCCCGACGGCCTGTCTGTCGGCTCGGCGTCTTGCCCCCTCCCCTCTGCTGCGTTCTAATCACACTGCTGCCGCTGGCGGCGACGGTCGGTCGGCCGTCGCCTCTGCTCAGCATAGTGCTGGAGGCAGAGTTTACACCGCTGGCGGCGGCCGTCACCTCCGCTCAGCATAGTGCTAAAGACAGAGTTCACATCGCGGGCGACGGTCGGCCGTGGCCTCCGCTCTGCGTGGCGCCGGGGACAGAGCTCCACTCCGCGGACGACGGTCGGCCGTGGCTTCCGCTCAGCGTGGCGCCGGGGACAGAGCTTCTCACCGCGGACGACGGTCGGGCGACTACACCATTATGCTCGGACTCTGTCAGCTGCCCGAAACGCCGCTCATGTATGATTTCGGAGCGGCGGTTTGCGGGGACCTATTTCCAGTCACCTTGAAACACCGTTGACGGCGGGTCGTCAGCGCGTTTCTTTGCCCCCTGCAACCGTGTGAGTGAGCGCAAGGTATTGATACGATCTCATTTTCGGCGCTCCAATCGCGTTGGGGAAAAAGTTATGGTGTCATTGCGAAAATCTCCCGCTGTGACAAAAATGCTCCTTCCAATTGGAGCAGCAGCTCCAGGTTCACATCACTTGACAACCAGCTCAAAATTTGGTCATCGTTTCATATAGTGAAATGACGATATGTGATATCATCGGATGCATCTTAAAAACGGGTTGCAGTGAACGGGGCTGCACGATCCATTGGCGCGGTACTAAAAGTTTCAAAACCCAAATCAAAGCCACGTTTGTGATGCTGGGAATATTACGGTCCCGGGTTGGCACCATATGCGGCGGTCATAGCTCTGGCACGGGTTGTCCGTAAAGCTGGTGGTTCATGCAGCGATATATACGGCGATGAGTTGCGATTATATTCCATTGACGAAAATGTGATTCATTCCATCCCATCCATTGAAAAACCATATTACGGTCAACTGCGGCACGAGAACATCGAGAGCTGATACTTAATTTGCGATAACACGTGAATCAAGTTCAAAGCATGGAGAACTCCATATGACCCAAGAGATACCAGGTGATTTGAAATATTCAGGCATCAGAATATTCACCAGGGCGGAAACTGTCGTCCTTCAAGAAGCTCTGAAAACGCGGTCACATTTTAAGGTCAAATTTAGCCTCACAGGACGTTAAGCTCTATATCACTACAAAGCTATTGGCTTATTTGAACTTTTTAAAACATCAGAATATTCACCAGCGCAAGACCTAGATTCCGTCAAAATATTCCTCTCAAGTTCACCACTCAATGCCAAATATAGCCTCACTGGACAGAGAAATCCAATATCACATCCAATTGCCAGGCGATTTCGAATTTTTAAGTGTCTAGCGCATGAATGAGCGCGCGTAAAAATATTACCTTTTAATGTTGCCTTGTAAGGTAAAATTTAAGCTCACATAATACGAAGCTCCACATCACAACTGCTTTAGCCTATTTGTACTTTAACCTAACCTAACCTAACCTAAAATATGCACCGGCGGCAGAACTAGCGTCCGTCAGAAAGTCATGATTTTGCAAGGCTTATCTTAGCCTTCAAGGTATATCTTGGGCTTGCATGACAGTGAACTCCATATCACAAAGCATTACTGGCTGATTCCGAATTTCAAGGGGCCAGAATAATGTCTACTACATAGACTAGCGTTCTTCCAAAAGTTCTGATCTCTCAGGTCAGATTTCAAGGCAAAGTTCAGACTCCATAGCTAGGAACACAATATAAAAAGTACCGGTCGATTTCGTCTTTTTAAGCATCAGAATTTTTAATAGCGCAAAAACTATGCCCCTCTAGAAGTCCTGTCTTCTCAAGGTCACTCTTCAAGGTGAAATCGAAGGTCACAGGACGGAAACTTCATATCACAAAAATATGGGCAGACTGCCACTTTTCAAGCTTCAGAACAATTACTGGTGAATATTGTGATGCATGAAAAGTTTAAATCAGCCGGTAATTGTGTGGTGATATGGAGCTCCCCATCATTTGAGGCCAAAGCTTACCGTTAAGAGTGACCATGAAAGGTTAGGATTTCTTCACAGACTTAAGGTTATGCGCCAATTATTGTTTTGATGCTTGAGAATAAGAAATCAGTCGGAAATTTTTGGATAGCATGGATTAACCCGTCCCGTGAGCCTAATTTGACATTGTGTGTTGACCTTGTGAGGTCAATATTTCTTGACCGACGCTAGTTTTGCGCTGATGAATATTCTGATGCTGGAAGAAAAATTTAAATCCGTTGTGAATTTTTTGATGATATGGAGTTCTTTATCCTTCGAGCCTGAACTTGACCTTGATAGGGGACCTTGAGTCATCGTGACTTTGGTGGACGCTAGTTTCTTCTCTGGCAAATGCTCTGTTGCTTAAATATGTGCCATCACCTGGTGAGTTTTTAGTAATAAATTCCCTGTATTTTGACATTGAGCTTAACCTCCAAAGTCGCGTTGCATTACAAAGTTAGTGTCATTTCCGATGAGCTCGTGCCATAATCTAGCACTTGTGCTTTGATTGAAATCGAAACACGTCGCTTAATATGTGCTGAATGAAGCGCCAACTTCACGGACATTAAGCCCGAGTACATTGCTGCAGCTTTCATCTGCTGTCCGCCCCCGCCCCCCCCCCCCCCCCCCCTCCTGACACTACCGCTGAAATCCACGCTTAAGTGCTTCATCGGTTTTAACTCGGCGCTGACATGCGTCAAACCACAAATGCGGTGCCTAGAAAGTGGAAAGCTTGTCGCAACCGCCGCTGGGCCAAAGTGGGGCGAACGAGGCCCGCTGGCGCGTCCGGTCGGCCGGCCGTGGCGTCTGTCCCGGCGGAGAGCGGTCGGTCGCGAAAGTCGGTGGCGACGCTGGCGGCCCACCGGTCCGGTCACCAGACTCGGGCTGGGCCGGCCGGGCCGGTCGCGTACCAGTGACGCCGTCCCAGGCCCGAGGGGCGGAGCCAGGTCACCGTCCTCCAGGCGGCACTGCCAGCTACTTCGACAAGCGCGCAGGATCGGCGCGGAGAACTACGGCGCCGCCCGAAGCTGCGCCATGGTTCACCTGGTCAGACTGCAGGTATGCACTGTGTACGGGATGAACCCTCGGGAGGGTTAATCTTTCCAATTTCGTGTGCGGATATGCGCCTCCTGACTCCGCCCTCACCGGAGCATCGCACCCGGTGGCGCCGTTCTCAGCTGTGATGTATGCGCCCGTGGCCGTCTTGATGCGTGTGCTCGACGCGTAGCGACACGCGCGTCTGCGCCGGCCGCCAGGTGCTGCTGTACGTGGGCGCCGTGGTGGTGCCAGCGGCCAGTCAGGGCCCGCTGGCCCTCGCCGCGCTGGCCTCGCTGGCCGGCCGTGCCGCCATCGCCTCCATCTTCTACGACTCCGTGGCGGACGTGCTCAAAGGCAGGTGAGTCGGCGAGTGAACAGTTCATTAACCCTCGCTGGCCGGCCGTGCCGCCATCGCCTCCATCTTCTACGACCCCGTGACGGACATGCTCAAAGGTAGGTGAGTCGGCGAGTGAACAGTTCATTAACCCTCGCTGGCCGGCCGTGCCGCCATCGCCTCCATCTTCTACGACTCCGCGGCGGACATGCTCAAAGGCGGGTGAGTCGATGGGTGGACAGTTCATTAACCCACCGCTGATCCGTATGACCGTGCATGACAGGTGAAGGGCCATCCTTGCCTTCCACCAATGATCTGGCGGCGAGCGTCCGTGTGCGTTGATATCTTGTCTCCATATAACGTCATTTGTCAAGCATATTTCCTGTTACACCTTATCTTGGGGCGGAGTTGCATCAGTACATCAACAGCACGACTCACATGGATTTAGCCACTAGAGTAGATGTCCGCGCACCTGGCAACCGTTGATCATGGACGTCACACAACGCAGGACATGTGTTCGTATCACGGTGTGTCAGACCACGTCAGTATTCCTGAAGTCAAATCATATCACTGCAGGAATGCATCACGTTAGTCGTGTTAGGATGCCCTGCGAAAACATCGCGATGCTCTAAAATAATGGCGTGTTCGTTCTGCTAAATAGGGGCGCCAACGACGTCCCTGCCCAGAGAATCGTGCGATACAGGAAGTATAAGGTGAAAAAGCCGAAGCCGATCGTCATCAGACACCACCTGTGGCCGCGCCCACCCGGAGAAGACCACCACGTGGACAGCCACCGCGACATCGAGAACTTCATACACGAGTATTCTCCCGGACAGTATGGCGTATACGAGTCGATAGAGGAGAGCATTCAAGCGTCCAATCCCCCCCATCACCAGCCAGGGAACGTTTTCCCGGCCGGGCTGCAGCAGCATTACGGGACCGGATACGACCTTCACCATGAGCACCCCGGGTCGGCAGACATCTCGCCACCGACGGCGGTATACGCAGAGCCACCGACGCCCGTGTACGCCAAACCACCCACCGCTGTGTACCCGGAAACATCGACAGCGGTGTACCCAGAGCCACCAACAGTGGTGCAGCCGGGACCACCAACGATAGTGTACCCGAGACCACCGGCGGTAGTTCAACCCATAGTGCAACCAGGTCCACCGACGGGAGTGTACCCAAGACCGCCAACGATAGTTCAACCAAGGCCACCAACCATAGTGCAACCAGGACCACCGACGGTAGTGCAACCAGGACCACCGACGGTGGTGCAGCCAGGACCACCGACGGTGGTGCAACCAGGACCACCGACGGTAGTGCAACC